AGTGAGCCCGGGAGAGTAATAAAAAGAGCGACAGATAAGCCGCTTCGTATTGCCTTTCGATCGATGGCGTGTTGCATTGACGTATGTGCCGAGCGAGCGCACGAGCGCCGTATATAACTCGCTGATAATCCGCAAATTCCTTGCCAATATGTTTCTATAATCTCAAAGATCCCGGATTGCGAATACCGGTCCCGACGCGCCAGATCCAGTTAACTTCACGACGCATATATAATTTTTGTTTTCTCTTCATCTAAATAAAGAGAGAACACGGGAGGTAAGAGCTGACGAGAGGCTCTGCTTTTTAAAGTCTGAAATCTTTCTTAAAACTTTCCGGCTTACGAATTAACTTATTTGCGCATAAAACACCGTCATTTAAACAAACCGTTTAAAAAGACCTCCCAGAACAGAGTCGCGTCGCCTCGGCACTCTTTGCGCCGAAAGCCACTCACGCATCTGCATCCGCGTCACCGACACGGCGTTCACTCACGGTCTAAGAAGAAACGAAAAAGAGAAGGGAGAGAAGGGCGGTTCGCGCACACATACGAAGAAGGAGTTCAACGACCCGCGGGAATGTGCCGGTGCACCGGCGCAAGCTATCGTTTTAAACCGTGTTCGGCAATCTCGTAAGACCCGCGTCGCCGCTATACGTATAGAGAGGTGCGCGTACTTTTGATAACGGCGATCGCGCGCGGAAGGGATTACGAGATTGTGGCGGCGGCGAGCCGCAGCGGAAAGAAGAGACGACGGATGTGTGTAAAGAACGGGTAACCGAGACCCGTTAACTCTTTCGGCCGAGCTCGCTAAAGAAACGAAAATAAAAAACGAACAGCTTTTCAAGTGCGAGCAAGAGTCGTAATTAAATGTAAAAATATCGCATTCCCGTGTCTTAAACGTCAAAAAAAAAAAAAAAAAAATTTCAAGCTCGAACACTTATACCGGTTTTGTTCGTTGCTCCGCAGGTGTTTAACCGGTCAGTTCGCCACAATTACATACTTGACCCATATTATACGCGACACACACGGCGCCAACGTGTCGCTGTCAGCGATTGTCTGATAATCTAACTAACGTGTAGAGACCGAACAATTCGAGAGTATGGGAAAACGAAACGGTGTGCAAGTAGGTCAACTTTCCACGATTCCCCGACGATTTCAACATGTTAATTGTAATTTGGGACGAACCGGTCAAACGTGATTTTCGTTCTTTGTTTGTTGCGCGCGCGCGTACGAAGTTTCCGATCTGAGGTAGTTAAGCGCACGATTTCGATTGTTGTTGTTCTTCTTCTTCTTCTCGTGACCACACTAAATCAATGCCAATCGCGAGCAACGGTGATAAAAGATCCGTCTTATAGTCGCCCCGAGAAGATTAGGCTTTCGCGCGTCGTCTTTCTTTATTTGAACCTTCGTGATAAAAGAGCGTCACGAAATATCGAAGAGAGAGAAAGCCCAGTGAAAGAGGTCGACGGCTACGCATCCCCCAAAATCAATATGGATACCAACACGTGTGCGATACATCCCCGCGTATATGTTCGCACGTTACAGAAGACCTTTCGACGTGACTATAGGGTGGTCAACGTGTCAAGGGTGAGACGGCTGCCTTTCTTCATGACAAACTGCCCCCCATTCGTTGTGATCCATGAAACGAAAGCGTTGCTTTCCACATCGCTGGTTATCGTGACAAATTTGTGTTTATGTATACTCATCGTTCACACCCTCGGCCACACTAATGCCACGACGACAAAAAGCTACACCGTGCGCAAATATACAGTACATACAATATTTGTAGTAAAAACAAAATTTGTTTTACAAACATATATTGACTTTTTCAAATTAAAAACAAATACAATACTTGAAGAGTTTTTTTGAAATTTCGCTCGAAAGTTTTCAGAAACGACTTCCGATTGTGTGCGCCGTCACGCACCCTCGGATGCATACCTCAAGATCGTATTTCTTTGACACGATCTGCCTTTGTCATAGCTTTAATAACTTACCAAGCTGGAAACCCGAGAAAAAGAAACCGATGGTATGCCAATACATCATGCCGCTATAGAATGCGTTTATTGGATTTTTTTGCGATTAAATTACATTCCAGAAACGGCTCATCGATTTGATTTTGAATTTTTAAGAACGCCACCGTGATTTGTGTAATGTGTTAAACTTGTCAAAGCTTCTGCGTGATTAAATTAGTAATTTAAAAAATAAGAATATAAGAAAACATGTACACTATGCAAATTTAATATGTATAACATACAAATTTAATATGTAAATGAAATTTGATGTAGAAAAGAAGCCAAAAAAAAAAAAAACATTAACTATTCCTTGCATATTTTTGCTAGCGTGTAATATTACGCAATTCGTAGTAACACGCGTGTAATAAAAAACATGATAGATCACAACACTCGTGAATAACTGTCGAAGATTTCTTTCGAACGAAATAAAACGAATATTTCGGCGCGACGGTGCTTCCGTTAACTGTATTGGTACAACGTGTGCCGCCCGCAGCTGGACATCTCGCGAAAAAAATCGCACTATTGTGTGACGTCTCGTGAAAGCGTCTCATGTAATTGGCAATTAAAGCAGGTGGCTCTGACAGCCTATATATACCTGCAACACTTGAAATCCGTTTGCGCTCTACGTAGAGAGCGACGAAATTGTTCGCGGGAAATTTTTTTTTTCTCACTCTCACAATTTTGGGACAAACAAATTTCCACTTAATTCACTCATTCTCGCGCTGCTGTTTTTTCGTTCCGCTGGGATAAAAAAAATCCGCTCATCCGATGATTTCGTTTAAATTTGAACAAAGGCGCAAAAGAGCGCCTTCGAAACGTCCTTTGAAAGTTTCCGTGGTAAATTTTCGTTTTTTTTACCGCAAAACACAAAGCGTCCTTTGCGCGGACAGTGACGAACTATGACAAAACCCACGTGACAACTTGTGTAATAGCTGTTTTTTGCGTGAGAGCAGTTAATTGACTAACACTTTGCGCATATGCAATTTTTTCAAGCGTCGTGACACAAAGAGACAACTCGAAATAATCGCTCAAACGACAGTCTAGTGTTAAAATGTTCTCGTGTTAAATTTGAAAAAGAGATACCGGTACCCGCTTAACATTGGGCGATCAACGAGGCATCTCTTATATCCAACCGAGTGTGATTTTCGCCTCATTTACGGTATCTGTATAAATATAAATGTCGAAGGGACGGGACGAGAGATATCTCGCGTCTCGTATATATGCGCACATTTACGGCGTGTTACACTAAACGCTTCTTTAAAAGTCTGATCCTCTACGAATGGGGTACAACAAAGGGCGATTTGCGAAAGTGCATTGAGTGGGAACGATCTCCGTGAACACCGGGGAGGCAAGTGATTCGTCGAATTTACGACTCATTACATTGGAGATTGCTCATATCCTCTGATTTCGATCGTGAAACTAATTCGCAAGATTAGTTTTTACGTCATACAAAAAAAATAAAAAAATAAAAAATAGAATATTAAAAAAATAAAATAATAAAGTTGTAATTACAGCTCTCTTATTTTTGTAAAAGGTTTTGTTTCAGTAAATATTCTTCTCAAAATAAATGTACGAGTGAGTAAATGTGCAATTAATTAAATTCCTAATTAAAAGCACATAATGTTGTTATCAGAGAATAAAAGAGAAAGAGAGAGAGAGAGAGAGAAAGAGAAAGAAAGAATACTTTTGCGGAAATCTACTCAGATTCGCGATGAAATCGACCGAAATTTGTAATTAACAATTGTAATTGAAAACATGCTCACGCGACACGTGCATATATTTTATTGTCGTACATTATATCAATCCTTTCAATTTACTGGGCGCGCACATCATTCAAATTTGATCGTGTGACAAGATATCCGTATCATTGCGAATAATTGCATCACCGTTAGTTTGTACTTCACATTCACGTTGTTCACAAGCGATAAAATTGTGCGCGATACGTGAATACGTCAGTCATACAATTTTACCCGAAGTGGCATAAGTGGTCGTTCCGGGTAAAATTGTCGAAAAAAGAACGAGGCCAAAAGAGAATCCTAATGGAGTAGTATCACGGGAAAAGTGCTGCTGCGAGTAGCCTGCGCGTTCCCATGCGCGCTTTGCTCACGTACCCGCGCACACGCACGTCGGAGATTAAGTAGGAACTTCCTGGCGCGAGTTATTCCCGCTCGTAGGCAAATATTCAAACTCTGATGAAACTCGAAGCCAAAATTCTGCTGATCCTTTCAGGGTCGACAGTCATTACCAGGTTTACCAGTAATATAGCGGGCGAAGCTTCCAATAATAATCTCATCTAACATGGGAATCGTTTGATTCTCTTCTCTCATCCACGCATGCTTAACGACGCTAATTAAGCGCGAGACCTTTTCGTTAATTGCACTCGACGTCAAATGGCGTAATAAAAACTTACCCAACGGTACGCAAAATATATTGGTGCGCGTAATAATGACTGCCTCGATCATCATTAGGGGGTAATCATTATTATACGACGGTTTTTTCGCGCGACGCAATTGCAAATACACGACGAACGCGAAGGATAAATGGCTTCGAAACAGCGCGCTAAACTATCGAAAAAAAAAAAATGTTAAAGAAAATGTGTACGTTTTATCTTTGTGTTTGTGCTCGCGTTTGTATTCATATCTTCTTCGCGGTGTCGAGATCGCGGGACGATTTGAATATAAAACTAGTGAATTCATCATGCATGCAAAACGGGAAAACAAACAGGGCGAAAATGCGACCGCGGGTGTACGTAGTGCCATTATCCTAAGATCTTATTGCTTCTTATTATGCGAGAAGGCGTGCTAGAATAATTCGTCTTGCCGCGCATTACCGGAAGGAAAACAGTGTCACCTCAGTGGCGGTAATTTGTCATCCTCGTATAATGTTCTTGCCGAGAAAGAGAGAGAGAGAGAGAGAGAGAGAGAGAGGAAAATGCTGAGAATTGGAAATAGTCTTTAGCGCGTGCGGAAATATCGAAAAGAGAGAAAGTACTTACTCTAAGGATTTCCAGTTGGGAGCGCACAAATTCCGCGCGGCTGGCAATGTCGGGAATCGCCACAGGAAACGAACCCATGTACTGCGGCAGAAAGAAGTTCGTGTTAGAAACGATGAAGTAGAAACGATTTCTCGGGTTCATTTATTCTATGGCTCTCGCTTTCACATTTTTGAAATAACAATTTAGAAATCAGCGTGTGGTTGTCGGGGAACAGTTTCCATATGCGCGGAGCCGCTTGTGTGCTTGGAGTCGCGCGCTCGATTCCGTTCAGCGATATCGTTATATTTCACCTTCAACTGATTCGGCATATAGAAGATTTTTCCCGACAGCAGCAAATATCTATCAAAATATTTATATAAATATTTATGTAAATATTCATATAAATATTTATATAAATATGCGTAACAAATTTATATATTTGTTTTGTATAATAAAAAATATAAAATATAATATTTTTAAACCCAATTAAATATTTTATATAATAATTTATTGACACACACACACACACACACATGCGTTATTTATATGTTATTTTACCCTTTTTTTTCTTTTACATATATATCGTATCTGTTACGCTCTCGCTAAGAGAGAAATAATTATCGGCTCGTCGACGTAAACGTGTTACGAAGAGTTCGTTACCCACCCTATCCTTGCACCCCGGCTCAGCGGGTGACCTCTAGACGGTGATGCCACACAACACGAAAACTATAACGCCACACACACGTCGTTGGAAAACAATAAAGGCAGACCTGGCCTAGTCTACGACAAGAATTTAATTTCCTTTTTCCGTTTCAAGGACGTCCGTACACCGGAACGTGTTTCCTTCTTTTTTCCCCCTTCGTAGGCTCGCCATTTCCTTTCCACAGTCAATTTGGCTGGCGATCAGTTCTGCTCTAGCGCCGAGACAACATTTGGAAAATTTCGTTTCTACGTCCATGGAAAATTGCTTTCGCGTTTGACAAAAAATGATTAAAAATTGTTTATGTCCATAAGAAAATGTCTATAAAAATAATCTATGTTGTATAATTGTTTGTATACTCGAAACATCAAGATGATAAAAATACTTTTTATATTTATAAATCTTTGTATTTCCCGATCGTTTCTCTTGCCTGGTCAAACGTGTGTCGCGCGACGATTATATGGTCGATAAAAATAGCGACCCTCCAAACACAACGGCGATAAATAAGAACACCAGGAGGTAGATTCCAGAGATGTAATAAATAACAGCACCTAACGCAATTATGTGTTCATAAAACGTAGGAAGGATAATATATATTTTCCTTCTTGCTCGAGAATTATTCGAATTGAAATTCCAAAAATATTCGTCGAGTATCAAAAATGCGGTTAAACCACTGCGCGTTAACTTGTTTATTGAATTTTTGAGTACCGCGCACAACAGTCCGCGCGAGGATATTTCCGTAAAACATACCGTAGAAACTTCACTAGATGCACACATGAGTTTGCGGGACAATTAAAATTTAGCCCGCAATACGCAACGTTCACAAAAAACAACTGAACAACAGAGAAAAGCTTCGTAGACAAAGAAGTTGCGAACGTTTGAAAATTCTGGCGAATATACAAGTGCGCAAAAATTTTACGATTCCGTATCTCCGCGTTCACGAATCTTTCTCTAGCTGCCAGTATTTTGATCGGTAGAAATTCGTATCGCGATATAATCCTGCTTTTAATCCCAGCCGGATGATTCTCATTGTTGTGTTTCATCGAACTTGTCTCTCTCTCTCTCTCTCTCTCTCTGGGCGGTCTCTTCTCTCGGAATCGCTGAGATTTTCCTGAATTATTATGCCACTGCAGAAGAGAGAGGCCGAAATATGTCGAGAATTCCGCAGTAGAGACGGATGTTTTATAACAATATTTGGAGGCTAAAAATAGTTTGTTCTCTTTATTGTTGTGAGAATGTTGTAAACACAAAATAAATTTTCCTATCACAGATCGCTAAGACAAAATAATCTTACGATAGATACGCTCACCTTATCGGAAAATATTATACAAAAATATCATATAAATATTTTTACATATTTACATAAATTAATTAAGCAACGATCTCTTTCGCGCGCGCGCGCGCGCACGTCTGTGCGTGCACAGAATCCAAAACGATAAAAGTTGATTTCTCGCCGCACGGCACGGCTGCTGTTGTGAAATTACAGCATTTTCCGGCATCGCGAGCAATCGGCCGTACTAATATCTCGCGGGCATTAAAGCGAGCGTTAAAATGAATCGATTGAACGATCACGACAATCGAAGAATGTAAAAGCCCTCCCTTCCTTCCTTCGACGCTCGCCGCACATTTTGCCGCTGCTGCTGCCGCCGCTGGTGAGGAATCGTTACGATTATTACGGCACTATAAATCCCCACGATATATTTCACGGTGGCGAAACACACCGGTTACTTTATTCGATCGCTTATATCGCGTCAGAGCTACGCACCTCTTCTCCGAGAATGATGCAACACGACACCGCGCGACGTATCGTCTATTCGAGATATGTACTTGTATTTTACATACGCGTCCCGCCGCGGAGAGAGCCGGCTATTCCGCTCCTCGAGATGGGACTGCGTAATTGCAAAAGTGAAATTTGCATGTGCATATTAAACGGAAAGAAATAAATTTGAAATTTCTTCTTTATTTCCGAGCTTGGAATTTCTGTAGCAAGCCTTTCCTTTATGTCCTGTACACTCTAGCCCTCGGCTTATATTGCGCTCTTTCTCGCGAGAGAATCCCGGTTTTAATAATCCACGCTTTTGGCCGTTCTTTTAATGACATATTTCATTAATTGCTCGACGTCTCGCACACGCCAATGGCGGCAGGTCGGATGGAAGTAATCGTAACTCTTCCCACCTCTCTCTCTCTCACCCTCTCTTCCTCTCTCGTCGCGCGCGCCGACGAAATTGCAGCACACGCACGGCTAACGAGCTCGTTGACGGAATTTTCGTCACTATAGCACCACGTGAAGTACCTAATTTCGTTGGTACGGCCGGAACCGAGAACACTTGTTCCACTTTCGGCGAAGAGGACCACCGCGCGTCGAAAACCGACATAATGCATCTTTTTTTTTTTTTTTTTTTCCAAGCGAGTTTCGTGGATTTCGAGTGATAATCACCTGTTGCGATTTTTTTTTCAGTTTTAAATGTATAAAGATAAAAATTCAATTCCCTCCATTTGCGTCCGTTGACATTACGCCGGCTGAGTTTACTTTCACCGGTCGTTGAATTTTGCGGAATTATGCGAGACTCGCGGAGAGAGTCGATTAACCATCGCGTGCCACAGGCGAAACGTGTCAATATGGCTTCTGTAATCTCGAGTGCTTCCACGCTTCGGAGAGTTGTGTCGATTTGCAGACAGCACCGAAGGGAATCACACGACAGAGCTTTTCGAAACATCACATATCGGATTTAATTAATATTTTCTAATTAAACTCTCTCGGGGTTTTATATTTGTGCGCGCGTGTGTGTGTCTATATCGACGAGAGAAGTAACGTAATATTTATTCGATATCGAACTCGGTGCATCCTCGAATAAGAACCGTTGGTGCAAATCATCTCGTTGTATCGTAAACACATTCCTCGAATCGAGTGTCAGTTTCTTGCGATAATAAGATATTCCTCGCATTATCGCGAGTGAAATTGCATCCGCGCGCAAATCTGCATAAGTTCGCCGTGCTTACCAAGCGTGGTCACGTTGTAACTGTTGACATTTTCGCGCACTTCGTCATTGAAGTCGTGACGAAGAATAGCGACGCAGGATAGAAAGGACGTTGCGTAAAACGTGCGCGGCATTTAAATGATTCGGAATGCCATCGCGCGCGCGGAACAAGAGAATCGAATCATCGCTAGTGCGAGGGTGTCCCCCGACGGTATTCTATCGGAAATCGATGATTCCCGTCGATTGTAACCCACTTCGATAATTCAATTCGACCGGTTTGGAAAAACAATCTAAATATTGCTCTCGCAAAAACTAAACAAAACCTGTATATATACACGGTAACATAATGAATAAAATCAATTAGCGAAGGTTTTTTAATTACTTGTAAAAATCTTCCATTCGTCTTGTCGCAAAAAAATGTAATCCAAAAGTAAGTTTCTTGATATTCTCGAAAATCAAATCGCCGACGATATAATCGCTGATAACTGAACAAACCGTTACGTCGGTCAACGTCTCTGGATTGGCGCCAGAGAAATAAAAATCCACCTCGATTCGAAACTGGAGCAAAATGATCCGGATTTTAACAATAGTAAAACGCGCTCCGTAGACATACGTGCAGGGTAGGTGAATATTTGTTGTTCGACGAGTGGCTGAATGCGTCGCGAATTCGGCTTTTACCACGCGGCAGCGCGCTCGTTGAGGAGTTTTAAATTACGCCCGGTATTGTACGAGTACAATGTGCTGTCATTGTGTCGAGAGATGACAAGAATAATTCGTATCCGCGCGTATTTCGCGAAATCGACGATTTAAAGCGAAATCTGTGACAGCCGTCCGGCTACCGCGTGATTAGTAAATCCGTTAAATGCAAATTGATCTCGTATGTATGAATATCGAGCCGAAAATAGCGAACACTTAAGATGCCGATGGAACGAACGAACCGATGTGTGGATCGTTGCGCTTGAATTTTGCGACAAAACAATTTCAAGCTATTTCAAATATCATTTAAACGCGTTTTATCGAAATTGCTTTCCCGTGTACAATCGGATAAACAAAAGAGCGAGGAAATAAGAACGTTAAATCGAAATGAAAAACACGACGGGGCGTATCAATTTAATTGCGAGACGAAATTTTGTACGCACGATAGAGAATGTGGCAACGGTGATACTCCATTATTTATTCTGCTGAAAATATCAATCAAATAAAATTTCATGCTCTCGCTAAATTGAAGTGCCGTTACATTACAAATGGAGTTATTGCGCTGGCGCGCGCACGCACATACACACGCCCGTGTGTATGTACACGCACGGCACTTGCGCGAACGCGGGTGATTCATTAATAAATATCACATCCATCTCTCTCGATGTCATGAATACACAGCTTTGATATTTCGTTTTTCTTTTCTTTTAGCAAACACAGCACATTGTTATTCGTCTGTGAAAATCTATTCTTCTGGAATACAGTATTACTTCTGCTCGATGTAATACGTTCTCAAATACGGTTCTCAGTTAACTTCGCGCGCGGCGATTTTTGAAGCTCGAAGTGTTCGAGATCGCTTCAGGAGCAACACAGCGAGCAATGCCGGGGAGATTTATATCCGTTCGCTTCCTTCGAGAGATATAACTATACGAGGAGGAGGAAGCGCGCGAACGAAAGAATCCCCCGCAGCATTTGCGCACACGCTCACACCCGCGCTTCCTCCACAGAAAACCAGAAGAGACGGGACGAGACGGAAAGGAGCGGAACGGGTGCATACAATGCACACGCGCGAGATTCCATGCAAAATGCGCGAGCATGCGGCCGCGTGCGTGTCACGAGCGCGCCTATATCGCGAAAAAGAAGAAGAAGAAGAAGAAGAAGAAGAAGAAGAAGAGGAAGAAGAAGAAGAAGATGATGATGAGAAGGAGGAGGAAGAGAGTCGTACATGAAAATTACATACCCCGTCCGACTTGCGCTTAAAAGGCCTCGGACGAATAACTGTAGTCAGCTAAAAGCCTCTCATACGTCAATGCCACGTTTACGAGATTTCGTGGCCTACGCGATACTGGTAAATGCTTCGCCGCGACCTCCGGTGTATATTCCGCGTCTTTTGTTATCGCGAGGTCGTCGTGGGGACGACGATACAGGTAGATTACAGATATACGTGTGTTATGATAAATCGGTCGTTGTCTCCTCGTAAGATGTTACACCAAAGTGAAATAGATGTACACGTAAGTGAGAAAAAAAAGCGCAACTTTTGAGAAAATCTGTGACGGAGCGTTCGGAGCGTTCTTCGAATTGATAATTTCACGTTCCGAGCGAAGTTCTACTTTAAGATTAACGATTATTAGCGATGAGACCCACCTTAGCCGCAACGAATCTCTTCGAGAACGTTTCTGCCATAATAAGTATACATCACTTCCCATCTGATTCTCGGCACCGGTTATGTATTTTTTTTTTCTCAAGAACACATAGGAAGTATCTTCCACACAAAACTCGAAGAGAGTATGCAGATTCTCTTGTTGTTCGGTTCGCATACCGCGTGCATGCGATGCATTCTTACGGCACTCTCTCGTTCTACCTCACATTTTCCAAAACGAAAAGAAAAGAAAAAAAAAAAAAAAAGAAGAAAATCGTGCAGTCAGGAAAAATGCACTTCCGATAGGCAACGCTTCTCGAATTTAGACGCGCACAGTTTCAGTTTTATCGTCGACAAAAAATTCATCGAACGTCGATGTCAGCGGACGGAACTTTTAGCGCTAAATCGAGCGTTCGCGCATCGATTCTAACGTCGCGCGCAGGTGAATAATTATCGGATTAAGTCAATATGCAATCCGCTCGGACCGGACATTTGTCAGACGCATTTAAATGAGATATTTCGCGCCGGCTGTGAAGAAGAAATAAGGACTGGTCGACCTTTGCGCGCGCGCACGATAGCCGGGGATGACATTTGCAATTGGAATCTCAACTGGTTTGATTCGAATCGTTAGCCAGTTCCAGAGAGTCGAACATAAATTATACGCACACAAAACAACTGAAATAATAAATATACATTACATTGTGTTTTTGCATTAAATAAAACACTGAAAAAAATACACTAAGTACTAAATAATTGGAGAAATAGTTGATGCCGCAAAGATGATCAATTAAAACGGAGCATATATTTTTTTTTGTTTTTCTAAAAAAAAATTTAAAGCGACTTTGAATTTTTGAGCATCATGAAAACGGCTGCAAGTAGCACTTGATCGGAAAATCATGCCGCATTCTGCGTGTGCCATCGCGCGCGTGTCACGCACATTTTTCACCTCAATTGTCAAACGAGGTATATTCAAGAATTCACTTGTGATACACACACGGCGAACTGCGCGCGACACAATTTCCGCGCGCGATACAAAAATCATGCGACAGACACTATCATTCATTGGACAATCCAATATCCAAGGTCGAGAGGTCAATCCTTTCAAAATCACGACTCAATCCATAAAAATCGTCGGCAATTCTGAGCCAACTATCGATAAATCACCGTGGCGCGTATGCGCCTGAAATGTCATCGCTGTCGCGACGGCGACTGAATTGGCGAGCCGTTCGTTTGACAAATTCCATGACGAAGAATCCGAGCGCGTGGAGTTTCGATTGTTTCTGCGATCGCGACAGAAATCGCGTAGCGTGTAAAACGTTATTATTGGGAGTCCGGGACTGTGGCAACACAGGAGACGCGATGACAGGCGGCCGAGGTTTCACGTAGAACGCGAGCCACGTCGTCGTCTTATCACCACGTTATCACATCGGTCACGTGCTCACCCGTATAAGTCACCGTGGAAACACGCGTTCTCAATAAAATCACATGGTGAACCGGACGATCCGCGAACAGTCCCGTCGAGAGTCCGGAACGCGAGGAAGCCGGAGTTACCGGTGAACGCGCGACGAAAGACTGGCCCGCCGGGACCCGGTAAGAGGTCCCTTTACCGCGGCCGGGGCCCCGATGATACGCGGACAGACGGCGCGGTCGCTAATGGCCAATGGCGCACGGATAAGAGGAAAGGACGTCGAGTCCTAGGAAGGATCCAGCGATGTGGAAAAGGAGGAACTGACCGACTCGCCGTGACGAGCGTCGCAAGAAGGTGGAGGAGAATATAACGGAAGAGAAGAGAGAAAGGGAGAGAAAGAGAAAGAGAGAGAGAAAGAGAGAGAGAGAGAGAAAAAGAAAGAGAGAAAGAAAGAAGAGAAGAAGAAGAAGAAGAAGAAGCAGAAGAGAGAAAGGGAGAGAGGGGGTGGAAGGCGAGTTCGGCAGAGGCCGGTCGAGCACCTGGGCGACATTACCTTCTCGCGTGTCTTTCGACTGCATCAAGGGGACCACTTCGTACCCTCTTTCGTCGTCTTCTTTGCGTTACGCGGGCTACTTCATTGTTTGCGAGTCTAAAAAAGAATTGAAAAGTTTCTAACCGCGAGGTTCACAAATTCCCATAATTATATATATCGTAATGATCTCAATCGACGATTATAATTAATGTTATAATTATGAATCACTGCATTCCACTCTATCACGTTTAGTTAATTAAAATTAAATTTAATAACTTGCGAGTCTGCGTATATGTTTAATATACGTGGCTTTGAGTGCATATTCATACGGGGTATAATCTAAAACGGAAATAATAAATCACATTTCCTCCTCTGTAATTATATTGAAGTTATGCGATTATTTAAATTTCGATACTGCGGTTTAAAGCATTTAAAAAATTCGTGCGTAAAGATCAATCACGATTGAATTTAGTTCGGAGTTTATAATATCGCTCTTGTCAAAATATACATGTATATATGTATTTGTATAAAAATAAAAAAGAAGGATTGAGGTTGAATGAGAATGTTGTTTGCTATTGTAATGCCCATTATCAAGCCGAACAACAAAAAAACGTAAAATAGTATTCTAAAACTTCAAAGGGATTAAACGGGATATCGCAGCTCACTCGAAAGCTTTTTGTTCCATTTCAATAAATTGAAAAGTTTTAATAACACCTCGTTTCGTTTACATATATATATATATATATATATATAAATATAATTTTGGACATTTGGTGATTACAATCGATCTCCGCCCCCGTGCTGGTTGATTGTGCGGTTGATATTTACGCGCTATTTCAATTTTGATACGACGAGATAACGCGCCCTATTCTGTCACGGAAGATCGCGACTTCTCGTCACGTCTGTGATGATCGTTTAAACATAATGAATCGCATTTTACGACATTATCTTTTTGTGGATTCTCTTTGGCACGCGAACTTATTTGCATTATCATAATCACTCATCGGGATATCGACGAAAAGTTTTGTGAGAGTCGAATCTTATTGATTAAAAATATCGAGATAATTTGTAATCGTTGTTTAAAAAAAGAACAAAAATTTTATTTTGCAGTTTAACTATCGGAATGCGAGACATTAAACGAAATTTAAAATAAGACCTTATATATTTCTTGTTAGAAATGTTAAAATGTTGCGGCAGATAATGTGGCTTTCGGATTTTCTTCAATTATCCGTAAATAATTTTTAAAGATGTTATTAAACAGAAAATTGTAGCTAACACAAAGTGTTTAACTAATCGGATACAACTCGCTCATGCACTTATAGTGTTTTCTGTAATATCACGCGACACCTTAATATTATATTCCCCTCGCGTGAGAAAGCGTAACGTACGACCCTTGAAAAGATCGCGTTTTGTTTCTGCGCGCACGCGTTCTCTGCTAACTACTTATCTCCGATATACTCTCGAGCCTCTAATATCAGTCATTCACGATCATAAGTGTAGCGCAAAATATCGGTGTAGCAACCGTGACGTATGGCTCCTTTTAAGATCGCGGAACGAGTCAAAGAGAGTCGTTACGTAAGATTGTTAACGCAACGTATATTCATCGTAAAAGACATACACGTTATCTGCTGCACGTGTGTACATGTTTAAGTAGCTTCGCTGAGCTTTGTTCTGAAGAACAGATTTTGCGGATTTTGCGTCGCTGCTTTCTGACTTCTCTCTGATGGAAAGGATTAAACCGTGGGTTTTCGAAGCGATGCCGGAGACACATCTGAAAGAGATGACGTGGTCCTTTCTCTCTCTCTCTCTCTTTTTCTTTCTCTCTCTCATCGCAGGACGGGCGACAACGAATCCGTTCCTGTGGTGTGCGCCGCGCGAGATGCGGTTGTTAGTTGCACACACCGGCTCGAGATGCCCAGTCTCCAGTCTGGCTGCAGCTGCGAACCGGTTATATACTTTCATCTGGCAGTCTTAGCCACACGGACCCTAAAAGAGAATCCGATGACTATAGTCGCGGCGGCGGTGGCGCGCGAGACGCGCGAGGAAAAGAGAAAGGAGAGAGAACGACGACGGGGAAGGTTAATGCCTGTACCGAGGCACGCTTATGCATTGGAATAAAGGACGTTCAACGTGTCTCTCCCTCTCTCTTTGCTCTTCTCTTCCTTCATATTTCTTCACGTTTTTTTGGTTTTTGTTTGTTTGTTTTTTTTAATTTTTACTTCTACTACTTCTCTCTTCTGGTGCACATCGACAACACTCTCTTTCTCTCTTTCTCTTTCTCTCTCTCTCTGTCTCTTTCTCTCTCTCTCTCTCTCTCTCTTTCTTTCTCCTTGCATACTTAGCCGGAGCAAGACGACGGTCGTTCAAAAAACGCTGCGCTCGAGCCACCGAGGCGATCCGAAGGTAATATTTGATGAGATCGTATGACGGCCGCACGATGCCGGCCGCCGTCGTCGAAGAAATGCGCATCCTGTTTGCGCCGCCGGAATATATGCGACGCGCATCCACGCCGGCTAATTGACAGTAGACCAATAATTTAGGTTTACGAGCGTCGTAAAGCTGTATCAAAACTAAACATCGTGAAAAATTCAATATGTCTCTCAACCGGCTTTACTGCACACTGCGAAACTATGCATTTTTACATTGGAAACATAAAAATTTCTCTTTGACATTTACTTTGACAAGCGTGCGTATTAATAATTTTTATAAAATATAAACAGAAGTTTTACGGCACACTGTGCGTGCTTCAACTTTATCGTTTTCAACGTAATTTACTAATAAACGATAACAGTCAATCTATCTATCAGATCTTAAAAACATAAATTTTGCAAGCGTGACACGTCAATAACTGAAGTGCTCTTCCCCTCGGCTTCTTTACTTCGCAATTTCTCTTCTCGCGACTTGGAAATACTACGAGAAGCAGAAGTTGAGCCGCAAAGTGGCGTGCTAAGCTACTAGTTTATCTTTGTGCTTATCTTCCGCTGTCGCTTAAAGGAGCATCCGATAGGTGCAACGGCGAACATTCTCGAGAGAATGAGAGAAAAGGGGGAAAGAAGGATGAAATGAGAAAAGTTGACATGTACCCACTGCCAAAGCATAGTTATGTCTCTTTTACTTTGAACTAGTCTTTTGGTTGCCTCGCGCACATCCCTTTTGGCGATTCGAGAATATAAAGTTTGAATGACGATGAAAGGACAGAACCGCTATTTTAACGTTAACAAAGCGACGTGTTTTCTTTCTGGGAGATTGATAAAACTCCGAAGTGTAACTGAAATGTCTAATCCGGAATCGATTCGCTATTAAAAGAACAAAAGAAACGGGACGAGAAAATGTCACAAACAAAGAAAGAAAATAAAACAAACAGAAACGGCAATTTGTTAGTGCGCGTGCTCTTGTTTCTTTCTACAAATGACCGATAGACGAAAAATCTTTCTGAATAATCCGCGTTTACATTCACCGTTAATTTATTTCTGCATCATCCTACGCGATGACATTTTCTTTCATGATAGTTGTGTTAAATACACGTTGATGTTTCAATTTTTCTATAGAATTCTTTCGGCTCACCGAAGTGTAGGCGTGGCCAAGGCCTACCGGCTGATTTCTCATGTTTTGTGAAGATCACGTAACGACAAACTATTCTGTGACCAATTGAAATGAAAGGCCTTGAGCGCCGCGCGCATGACAAACGTATTTGAAAAAAAAAAAAAATGTAAATTTGATTGCACAAGAATCTCACCGCAAATCATTATGTAGCGGTGTGACTATTGATTTGAAAGATATAAGCTTTTCAAATCAATAGAGTCTATTTCTTCACAATTTGAAAAGATAATGAGATTGTGTGGCGCAAAGTCGTCTTTTAAATTTGTATTGTTATAAAATACATATACCGTGTTGGCACACGATGAAATATATTTCGTTAGCCACGAAAAAAGATCATTGTCTTTATTTCATAAATAAACCACCGTCTCAAGAATAATATAGATTATTGATAATATATGTATATTATTTATATCATCAATTATTTATAATAAAAAAATCGTAACTTCAGTATTTGAAAAGCAACGCGCGACATCTGAGGTTCAGTAACGAAAGTTACTAACCTGGTTGGTTGGTTGGTTAGTCAGGTTCAAAGAACTTTAACTCACAGTAGGTATATATGACAACCCAGACACTCTACCTCAATCCAATAGATCATAGAATTTTTCTAAGTTCTGCGCACATACACCTGCTGTAGTTTGTCGCTAGATGATGCGATGTATGCTACTTGTCGATAGCGAATTATCTCTTGCGGATAAAACAAGATTTTTTGCGCTCACATGAATTCAAAAACCAGTTTCTTCGATTTCTTTAATTTCATGGATAATTTTTATATTTGTATTTTATATTTTATATTTATACGTTTGATATCTCAAGTATAATGTAAGCCACGTGCAATTGGATTTTGAAGAGAGTATTGTATACGCAAATAAGTACCAAATATAAAAAACAAACTATGTAAAAAACTTATAAGATTCTTAGTTATCTTCTTCTTTGTTTTCTTTCTCACCGGAAGTTACAGCCTTCAAAAAAATTGATGTCTTCCGCTTAAAAAAAAACTTTAATTGAGAAACGCAATCTGAAGATGAATTCGTTGAGAGATGCGCGATATCTGACAAGTTTGTATAACCGCGCGTGTTCATAGGAAATTCCATACCATCACGCTAATAATCGCTACCGTTTCTTTCCCATCAACGATCGACGATACGCACAGACGGCGCCGTCTCACTATATTCCCCATGAAATATATATCCTCCCCAATACGGGCGGTGAGGTGGCACAGGTGACCGGAGGTTGTAACGGGGGGGAAAGCCCCCCCTTCGTGCACGCCTCGGGGAACACGATGGGCTGAATTTAACTTGGAACAACCGTACGTTTTGTGGTGTTCTGTGCACGGTCAGTGCTCACCGCCACAGAACGAATGCCAGGCAACGATCTGCTGCGCTCTCCCGACCACGCCGTCGGCTTTTGCTCGCGAACACTTCAGTTTACTATTGTAAGCTCACTCGGACAGGTGAGCGCCGCGCTCGCGGCCGATCACACAGGCGATGACACAGTTTTCGAATTGAAAATTTTGACAGACTTGACGCTGATCGATGATCACTTGAGAGAGATTCGATTTCACCTCACGCGCACTGCTTGCCTGCCTCAGAGACAAAAAACCTGATGTTACGTGTAGAAAAGTGATATCGTAATAAAAAGAGATTCATCTCACAAAAAAGGTTTCATTCATGAAAGTAGACCGCGTAAACGTCCGTTTCTAAACAATAAGTTCGAACGTGAATTATTAAAAAAAAAAAACAGTAGGTTTTCGGTTTTTATAATTAACGCGATGATGCAGACAAGTGATTTCAATTGTTACAAAGTGTGAGATATATGTATTTGTAAAAAAAAAAGTATTTGATAACTAAGTCATCTCGATGATTCATTGATGATTCAGTGTGAAGAAGTTGAACGATGATAACCCGGTTAATATGCGGGTTACTGACACAGCTGGACATGTGAATATATTTTGCGCGCTTAGCAATTACGCTGGCGCTGACAACGTGAGATAAAAGCCGGAGTTAAAACGAAACAATTGTGCGAATAAAAGATATTCGTTTTCATCACTGAAACGCATACTCGGCGAATCTGTTGACATCGTATATTGTAACACAAAACTTCCGGTGAGTAAAAACGCATATTTATACGACATGCAGTTTATAAAGATACAATAAAATTTTTATTCTAAGATGTTTTTGTCTTTGCTCTCATTGACTTTATATTTTAGAATTTTTTTACAACAATAAACGTGAAAAATATTTTTTGTGCGCACGCGACGATAGAAAAAAATGTGTATAAAGGAATGTAAAAAAAATAGGAAGAATATTTACTTTTATTCCTTACATATTTAAAAACTTATCACTTCTATCGGATTTGACTCAACAATCAACGATATCAGCAGCTTGCAATTTTTTAGAAAGTTTTTGCCGAACTTTTAAAACGTGACATTTGACAGACAGCGCGTCCATCAGAGTCGACATCCTGGTACGAATCCATACCAGTGAGGAATCTCACGAATCGGACGTGCAATTAATGCTTATCTGACATTACCGCTGAAAGTTTAATTCACGGAATCAACGGTATTGTTAGCCAAAGTCTCGATAACCGATGTAATTGTATCCGTACAGAGCACACGTTTTGCTTATATTTATCATTATACGCTTTCAAACAAATAAGAAGTGAAGACAAGCCAATTGTAAGATATCACGATTAAAACTTCCGTTGTAGAAAACATTCCACAAAAAAAGCCTTACCTTAATTTAATCTCTATTTTTAGTTTATTTTATTTTGTAATTTGTCAATACATAAATATTTAGGTTAAAAATAAATCTAGAGCCATTTTTTATATTTTGACACACACACACACGCAATAAATTAAAAAATAAAAGCCTAATTATCATGTAATTAAACGCGTACTATTTGATTTGCTTTTGCATACCGCAACTTCCCATCATTATGAAATCAAAATTAAACGTTTAACACGGTTAATCATCGGCTAGCATCGGCGCGATTGTCCAGTACTGACCCACATTTCCCTCTGTGACGACATTATTTATTAAATGAAAATGTTTATGATGCAAGAACGCAATCGCGCTTCACCTCAGCTATGCACTCTCTTGCGTTTTTATTGCAAAATCGTATCTCTCTTTCAATAATCGCACACAACGCCATTGTGTGTAACACATTGCAATTATTCCTACGAGAGACAAGGCATTGCTAATTTCGCTCCCACGAATAACGTCGTGCCAGTGCGAAAAGGAAATTCGTTTTAACTTGTGTGCCTCGCATAAGTCGTCGCATCTGTCTTCTGTTGTAACACCAGATGCAACCGCAAAGCAGGAATCGTATAGAAGCGGCGAAGTTTTAGCAGCCAGAATCATTTTCACGTATAAACTGTGTCTTTTCTCCGGAGAAAAATAGTTTATTGATTAAAAACTATATACTAAACCTAATAAGTTAAATAAAAAAATCAATATAAAAATTTCTTCTGATAAAATATACAATATCATTACAACATAAATTTAAAAAATTAAAAAAAAAATAGTTTACTCAAAAGCATTGCTTCTCTTTGTATTTTTCATAAACTATTTCAATTTACAAGCAAAAAAGTACGAATCAGCATCAAACTACTGGCATACTCAAATTCGTTGAAAAGATCTTTTTTTACATATGGTGTCTATGGTTTGGGGGAGCTCGTCACGCGAGGAAATTCTGTATGGGGTTGGCTGGGCAACAGACAGTATGGGCGTATGTCAATATCCTGGACGGTGTTATCATTCGGAAGCATGCATGACAGGTGTAGGAAGTGACGTCACGCACGCCTCGGGACAGCCCCCCAATGGAAATACGACCTTACTCCCCTTTTACTCGAGCCAGCGTGCACGTAGAGAAAGCTTCTTTTACGCAGATACAAGTTTCTCTGCTCAGTGAAGACTAATTGGAAAACTGCAGTCGTGTTGCAGGTTAAAAAAATTGACGATGTGTTGTCGAATAATAAAATTCTTCCGTTTCAAACGTTTTATCGATCAATCTTCCCGAAGAACTTCGCGAAGGTGAATGTACATAAGTTACAAGGAGTTTTCGAAATTCTCAGTCACGCGATCTTTAAATACATTCAAATATTGTACTTTTTAGTGGATAAAAGATTAGACGAGTAATTAAATATAATTAATTGAAAGTAACAACTCTCGATAATGAGCCGAATGTAAACAAATTTTTACATACGTAAAATAAAATCAGCAATTTAAAAAAAAAATTATTGATTATAATACACGATAATTATAGATGTATAAAAAAATTATTAATTATGACACGATAATTATATGTATGAAACTTTGAAATTGCAGCGTAAAATTCTGAAGAATTGTTGTATAAACTCATCACAAACCTTCATGGCCTCAAACAAAGGCTACGACGTGTGTTACATGACTTATAAAAGGCGCATGTTGCCCAATATACATAACTCTTATCGATATCTATCAGAATAATAAGAAATGCATTTCCTGTGTGGAGGTTACAACCTTCGTTCGCACACACCGAGAATCAGATAGCGCACGTGCACATTTGAATATACACGGGTGTTCGCACATCGAGAAGCAGCTTCGCACTAGCCTGTTATTTAGCAGAGTCTTAAAAGTCAAGAGCGTGGCCGACACACTCTGTTGGCAAGAGGAGCACCGTTTGGCGTGCTCACTCGGTGTTTTCCTTAAGTGTCAAACTATCCTGTAAGAGAATCCTTTAGACGAGCACGGGTCAGTGAGAACGTTCCTTCCGCATATCCGCCGTGTTTTGCCGATATTTTTAATCTGTTGAATATATATTTCTTAATTAGGTTCAGCTTTTAAGCCGGATTTTTGTCCTCAATTGAAACAGTATGTGATGTGTCCGATGTGTACAAATAAATCCAACAAGTTTATTTTTTTCTTGTTGAAATCAAGTTTTTCTAAAGATGAAATTACAAATTGATTGTGTTATATCTGTTTCGTGAAAAATACAAAAACTGTTAAATTTTTTTATCACAATCGAGCAATTTTACAAGATCGATTCGTCACAGCTAGCTTTCTCCAGAATATTGATGTATTTTAATTTGCACGCTCGTTTCTCACTCTTTCTGTATTATATCATTGTCTTTGACTGCATGTAAGATTCTAAGAAAAGAATCAAGTAATTAAATACGACTTGCGTAATGAGCAACAAAAGATCTAATTGGGGAAATCATTGTTTTAATACAGTCGTATATACGTCACAATTTAAGCGCCGTGAGAAAACGTCGCTTCTTCGTCTTCTTCTTCCGCTTAAGCTTTCACTCTGGTTTAATCTCCGTGGTCGTTCGCGACGAGATACTCTTGACATTGCATCAAGACGACGTTTTACCGAGGAGAAAGCAACCACTCAGCGTGAATACCGGTTTAGCAGTTTATCAAACTAGATGCAGCAAATAAATAAACTGCGCGCGCGGATCTGCCGAACTTCGCGAAAATTACACAGGAGATAAGCGATAAATATGCAAAATACATACGCAAGATCGTGCTACTCTGAATGTGATCCGAATCGATACACGTCACTTTCATTGCACGATTATTCACAGTCGCGTTTAAGTTTTACAAACGATTCAATTGTTCTTATTGTTGTGGACTGACTTCAAAAACAGTTTATTAGTTGTGACTGGGTTTGTGAAACCCACGCGAATTTAAAATCATCTCCGCAAAAAATCAATGTTTTTTCAATATATTTTTTTTTAATTGAAAGTTGTACGATTCTGCGTCGGCAAAAAAAAAACAAATTAAAAAAATTCTGTAATAGTTTTTAGAAGATATAAGCGTTAAAAAAATTGATTTTAACTAGACACCGGTTTGAAAGTTTTGGGTGGGTCTGGGAGACCTATGTCAGTCGACGAACGATTAAATCTTTAAATGCATATTTTATCTCATTGAAATCCCTAATAACCCACAAATTGCATGTGCAATTGCGTTTCTTTCAGATTACCGATCTAATCTCGAGAACATTTCGCGAAAGAGACCATGTCAATTACAAGCACCAATCCAAGACCAAGATGACGTCGGATAAACAAACGAGATCGTCTTCTTGGCTGCTGCGATCGTGCAAAAGAAGCCGATTTAAAATAGAATTTCTGTACCTTATGTTCGGATACTTGTTGACGCAATGCTCGGCTAGAAACAATCCTCCGAGATTCCTCATAGACGGCCAAACGGAAATTGTACTCAGATTGAAGGAGGGACCCGAAACTCCGATTGGTAAACGTTATCGTAACACTACTTATTTTTATAACACGGTTTCGTCGTTCTTACATACTTTGATTGTTTGATCGTTAAAAGTTTATCGTCTGTATTAAAACTCTTGCTTGTATAGAAATTTACATTCAACTTTGATACGCATCATGGACGAGCACGAGCGCGTTTTAAAGCATTTTCGCGTTGCGGCCGGCAACGGATCACAAAATTTATTACTAGTTTAATGTAACAACTTTCAAGCACCGTTACACGAACCGTTTACCTCGCTTCTAACGCGAATGAAATTTGCGATTAATGTAATTTCAAAATGCCGTTAGCGCCTTTCTTCCATTGCGTTTGTGTGCCTTGATTTTTTCATGTGTAAAAGTATTGTAAATAAAAAACTTTTTGCAGGTAGCTTAATTTACAGACTGAAAGGTATCGATCCGGATGGCGATGTCTTGAGTTTCGGGGTACGAGAGCAACCCGGCAGCGATGTGATTCGAGTCGAGAACTTCGGCAACTACGAAGCTAACATTTACTTGAATAAGTTGCTGGACAGAGAGGTAATCTCTAAAATCTACAGTTTATCTGTAATTATCGGCATATATCAACCGACTTGGAAAAGTTATGTTTCTTGCCATAATCGTAGACTTCATGTTTTCCTTCGGTCAATCAAAATATTCATCTTAGAGTTGTCATTTATAGGAGCGAGAATAAAATTGAATATTCTAACCATTACTCATTTCAATGACGACCGTGAATTACAGAGCTTGTCTTGAACAAGATGTTAGAGATAGCTATTCAATCACCATAACCGAGGAAGTGAGAATCAGACAGGAAGAGATACTGTACAGTAATTCTTATGCTGCCTCGCCGTCGTATACTTCTTCTTCTTTTGTTTCGCGCACGAACGATTTACGCATCTCAACTTCCTTTTCACAAGCGCGGTCACAACGTTGAAGTCATTAAAGAGAAATTTAAGTATCAACGAGAGACAGAGACAAACGCAATTTGCGTACGATATCGTTTTCGCGAGGATTCGCTTTGCAAAATTGTTATTGCGAAGCTATCATCGCGTTGCGCGCGTGAACTAACCGGTTTGAAGTCAGCTTTCTATCTCGTCGATAACAGTGTTCGAATCACGATAATCATCTTCGCACGCGCGCGCGAAGATTCAATTTTTAAAACTCACAACACACACATATCGATCGTGTTCGCTCGATTATTATTTGTGTAGATATTATTATAATTTTAGCCTCATCTTGTTTTCTCGAGCATTAGAAAGTTTATAAACGCTCTTGCAAAGTCCTCTTTTACGTTCTCTTTACATTTGTAATTCTCATTACATTTGTAATTTATATAATTTGTGCGTGAAATAATTTTGCAAAATACAGGGTACACAATCCCATCTAATTTTTGAGCATTCCAAATATCTCGCTTATTTTTTATGACAGGAGGATGTTGATAAGGATCATCATTCGGTTCGAGGAGACAAATGATGTAACAAACAAGAAATTTTTCTCAAGGTCATTTTTTTTAGGATTTCAAAGTCATTGTCATTTTTTAAATCTGAAAGTACATGTTTTTATCCTCGTGATATGATAGGCAAGATAAAGACGCGAATCCAAAAAGTTCTTATTACAGTATTTGTCTCCTCGAACTGATTAATGATCCTTTTCCTCCTATCATAAAAAATAAACAAGATATTTAGAATGCTCAAGTTAGGTGGGACACTCTGTATAATTCTCCGATGTAAAAATGTTTATTTTTTATTTATTAGACAAGAGACGAGTACGCGCTTGTGTTAACGCTGACGGACGGACGGCTGGGAGAAGGAAATTTCATCACGCAGAGCTTGCTGCTTCTGGTCGAAGATATCAACGACAACGTGCCAATTTTCCGTCCACATCCTACGTCATTGACACTCCGGGAGGATTCGCGCCCGGGTATTATAACAACGGTGGAAGCGACCGATGCTGATTTGGGCGCTTACGGTCAAGTGGTATATTACCTCCAGGAGCTGGACGGCGATAACAGCGTTTTCACCATATCGACCGTCAATGGTAAAGGCGTCATACGTTTAGTCGGTCCTCTGGATTACGAGCAAAAGTATCTATATCAACTGCGGATTCTGGCTGTGGACCGTGCAAAAAATGAAAAGGTACGTAAAAGTTGTATCGAACAATATTAAATTTGTGTATCGACAGGAGGGTATTTTTTTTTTCAAGTAAAAGACGTATTTATTTCTTTTCACAACGTATAATAATTTTTTAAATCAAATATGATATTACTTTTGATACCACACAAATATATTAAATATTTAGTAAAAAAATATATTAAATATATATTTTCTAGTTTAAATATTTAAATCATGATTCTCGATTCCGCCTACAAATTATTCAGTTAAAAGCGATTTGAAGAATATTTTAAAAGAGAGCTGTAAGGGTTTTATCTTTTACGCGCGGTTTCCATAGATAAAACCCGTATATGATCATCATGAATAGTTCATTGACTTTTTCCCGCAAAGTCGAGCGCAGTGAAGGGTGAACAATGCCAGGAGATGACCGTTCATTCAGGAGTCGTTACAGTCATTTATTATAACAATTTACCTGATGCGACTTCCTACAAGGTAGTTTGCTGACACCTAATCGTTTTGGGTAAATACTTAATTATTACAGGTAAATACAGGAACGACCGCGATTCTGGTCAAGGTACAAGATGTGGAGGATCAGCCGCCGGAGTTCATAACCATGACGCCTGTCGCAAGAATCAGCGAGAACGCCAGGATTGGCACATCTGTTCTGCAAGGTCAGGCATTTCATTTGATTGAGATCATAATTCATGAGGAAATAAAAAATAAAAAAAAAAACGAGCCGTAATTATTTTCTATCTGGAAAGGATATTTTGATTGGAAAAAAAAAAGTTTCTACAGTCAAACCTCGATAACTCGAATCTCAAGGGAAGAGCTAAAATCTTCGAGTTGTAGAGGTTTCGACTTATCGAAGTTCTTTTTTTCTTTCCGCGGAGCGGAAGGGAATGAACAAAATTTTCATCTTATAAAGGTTTTCGAGTTATAGAGGTTCGAGTTATCGAGGTTTGACTGTATTTATTTTCACTTTGTGTGTTCATACACGTATGTGTAAAATTATGCGACTCCGGATGGAGAGTCGATACACAACCATAAATCCCGTTGCAGTTCGTGCCGTGGATGGCGATAAGGGGATAAACAACAAGGTGACGTATAGCATCACGAAGGGACCGAGGTATCTGTTCGATATTGACGCGACTTCCGGTCTGGTGTTCACTCGAGCGCAATTGGACAGAGAGGCTGAGGAAAACAGCGACGGCACTTTCATTCTGGAAATTACGGTGAAGGAAGTGTCGAAGATTAATCCGTCGCCGTCCGTCAGAACCGAAGTGACTATTATTCTTACTGATGTAAACGACGAAACGCCGACGTTTAGAAGTACGTTGTATCATGCCGAAATAAACGAGAACGCGCCCCAAAACACGCCCGTCAGTTTTATCGGCGACGCCGTGCCGGAAGTGTTCGATCATGACTTGGTAAGTTAGAAATCGCGAGACTTTGTGTTGACATCTATAAAAAAAACCAATATTTCAATATTAAAAAAATAGTCGACACACTTTTCTCTCCGTTTGCAAAATAATTAATTGCATCGACTTATAAAGAAAAATGTTATTTGTAAATGTGCAATGCACTTCTCCACAGGGCACCAACGGCACGTTTACAATATCTATCGAGGGCGATAATGGAATTTTCGATGTGACCCCATTTCGCGGAATAAATGAGGCGCCATTTTTAATACGCGTTAAGAACTCAAGTAAACTCGATTTCGAGAAAATATCAGGTAAGAAAACGTAGTTCGAAAACTTGTTCTTCATTTGAGAGTGTGTGTGCGTAAATTAATTACAAGATTACACTGTTTGTACAATTGCACATATATTCAATTTTTTTGCAGTGGTAAATTTTACACTTGTCGCGAAAGAGATCACGTCGATTGCGCCAAAGTACAGCGCGGTTCCAGTTACGGTTTTTATAAAGGATCAAAACGACAATTACCCCGAATTTACGAAAAATATCTACGAGGTCTCGGTACCCGAAAATTGTCCGAAAGACACCACCGTGGCTTGGGTACAAGCTCTGGACGAGGACAGCGGGAACTTCGGAACTCATGGAATACGATACACAAATTTAGGCGGTAGCATTGCACATGCGTAAGATAATAAATAATTACAAGAGCAAATTGTGCCAACAAACCTGATAGAATTATTTACGTTTGTAATGATATTTGTTCTTAGACTGGCGATAGACCCTCTCACCGGTGTGATTACGGTTAACTATCCCGGATCGAGTTTCGATCGAGAACTAGTAGCTCGGCATTATCTCACGGTCGAGGCTCGAGATGATCTGGGAAAGGGAAATCGCAACACCGCGCAATTGATAGTCCATGTTGACGATGTTAACGATAATCCACCCAAATTTCTGCAAAATAAGTACGAAGCCGTACTGTTGGAAAACGAGAATCACTTCGAATCGATTCTAGTCGTTGAAGCGTCCGATAAAGACTTAAACGGTGATGAGACGCAATTTATTTTTTAGTAAAAAACAATGGAAGAATTAAAGTAACTTATGTTTCTCTCTCTTTCTCTCTCTCTCTTGAACTATATGATACATTTTACGATCTTACAGGGACACGAAACAGTGAAATAGTATACGCTTTGGTATCGAGTGAATTCTCCCGAAACTTTACGATCGATCCGAAACGAGGTGTTGTAACACCAGCTCGCCCTTTGGATTACGAAGCTCTTCCTATAAATCAGGGACACAAGGAAAACATGATACGTCCGTTGCACTTGACAGTGAGAGCTAGAGACAGAGGCGTACCAAGTTTATCCACCGACGTTCCCATGACCATTTATTTGAAAGACATTAACGATAACGCGCCAATGTTCGAAAGAACTTTGTACAAGAGAAACATACCCGAGGATTTGCCAGGCGGTACAAGTGTTTTGCAAGTACGTCGTTAAAGAATACTTACATATTACGCGTACGTTAAAAACACAATTAAATCTCTATAATTAAAGATCGTAAATTGAGTAGCAAATATAAAAAAATTATTCGTACAGGTAAAGGCTTGGGACAAGGATCTCTCGTCGCCCAATAACAAATTGGTTTATCGAATTCAAAGCGGAGCCGGCGATAAGTTCGTGATTAGTCCGGAAACCGGCGTGATTCGAGTGGCACCTGGCTCGAATTTAGATCCGGATCTGACGTCGCCGAAAACAACCAAGTACAACTTGAACGTTATTGCTATCGACAGCGGCACGGAGATCCAGCGCACAGCCGAAGTCCTCGTGAATATCACGATTCTAGACGTCAACAATAAACCGCCGATTTTCATCGATCCCGGAACCGTCACCATCAGAGAAAACACTCAGGTGATCATTATCGTGAAAAGAATTTTTTCAGAAACAAATACTGATCGTTGCAATGTTGTAATTTCAACAATTAAGAAATATCGTTACATTGATAAATGATTATCAGGTTGGTGCGTATGTTTATCGCGTGGTGGCGCAAGATCTAGATGTCAATCCGAATCTCCGTTACCGAATAGATCCTAATTCGTCGGAGGCGCGAAACGAGGACGGTACTCTGATCAAAATACAAGAATATGACTACTTGGCGACGTTAGAACTGAACGCACTGGACGGTTTGCTGCGCGTAGTGAAGCTGTTGGACAGAGAGAAAGTAGAAACCATAAGACTGGGACTTATAGTCGAGGATCTGGCCGCAGTAAGAGGCTTGCAAACTGCATCCGGTTAGTTTCGAAAATAATTTTGGTATCTAAAATTCTGTCAAAATTTTCTCAAAGATTTGCAGATACAAAAAAAAATTCCGTACTTACGTTGAAAAAAACAATATATAACAATAGAGAGTAGAACAATATTGTGAAAATATTTTTGCAGCCACACTGAACATAATTATTGAAGACGAGAACGACAACAATCCGAAATTCCGGAGACCATTTTACAGACGTTCGGTCACCGAGAACAGTAAGAACGGCGTTAATATCGCGAATATAGTTGCCGACGATGCTGATAAAAATCGCAGCATTACGTATTCCCTGAAAGGACCGAGAGACATCGTTGAACTTGTTCACTTGGACTCTGAAACCGGAGAAATGGTTGTTGCGAACAAAATCGATAGAGAAATGTATACGTGGCTTAATTTAACTGTTAAAGCCACGGACTCGGGATTTCCATCCCGGTGAGAATCACAAGCACTTTAATTCGCTTGTTAGCGCTGGTTTTGATTTTTTTTCTTTTACTAAATTTAGACTGATGCAAGTGTATATTAAATTTCGTAGATCGAGTTTGTCGGAAGTATACGTTCAAGTGTTAGACGAGAACGACAATAATCCGTACTTTATTTCGAACGTCAGTAACGTCACTGTTATGGAGAACTCGAAAATCGGCACGGAAATCACCGTTATACAGGCGACAGATCTCGATAGCGGAGATTACGGAAAAATAACTTATCTCTTAGACAGAATGTCATCTGAGGTAAAAAAAAAAAAAACGTATAAACAAATATTATACAATAATATAGAAAATTTTACTTATTGTAATCAAATGTATTCTAATTAAGGGAGTGTTTGCTATCCATCCGGAAACCGGATCGCTGACAGTGGCTGATTTTCTAGATTGGGAAACTAAACACAGTTACGTTTTAGTCATTGAAGCTTGGGACAATTATCAGTTTGGTTACACGGCGGGAGAGTCTCGAAACGCGTTTAAACAAATCCAGTATGTGTAAACAAACAAACTTTGTATCATAATTTTCAATTTTCAGAATTAATGTTTATTTTATTTTATTTTTTTTTTATTTTAAATGTATTAATTTAGGGTAACAGTCACTGATGTGAACGACAACGCTCCGAAAATGGATGTACCTCAGGATTGTATTTCGATATCGGAATTTCATGACATACGTGACTTGATTTATATCATTAAAGTAAAAGATGCCGACGATCCGACAACGCCGAACGGACGTGTCGTAATCAGAATCACTTCTGGCAATGAATTAGGTGCGTATACTTTTTAGTTTAAAACGTTAAAAGCAAAACCTATTATAAGATCAAAGTAACATTCAGCGAGGCAATTTTTTCAAGTAAATAAAATCGCACAATGTACACAACGCTGATATATAAATAAATGAATGTGAATATTGTGGTCGGCAGGTTTGTTCGTGCTGCAGCAAACCGATTACTGGACGGCAAAGATAAAAGCGGCAAAACCGCTGAGAGGAAAATTCGGAAATTACACGTTAAACGTAGAGGCGCGCGATCTGGGAACGCCGTCTAATAAGGATAATGGAATTTTGAAAATATGCGTCACGGATTACAACGATAATCCGCCTGTGTTCGTTAGTCCCGAGCACAACACCACCATACGTGTTCCGGAGGTTCGTGTTTCTGGCTAAATTTATTTTTTAAATAACTCCGCGTTATTGATGCGCACGGAACGATGCTAATGATGCGACGTAACGGAACGATTTCAGAACATAACAGTGGGGAGCCCGATTATTCGAATCGAGGCGAGAGATGCCGATACGGGATTAAATGGCGATGTACATTATCGCTTGAAGCAGGACCTCGCGGGTCACTGGCGGACCTTTCGTATCGACGAGAAAACCGGCGCGATATTCCTGAAATTACCGCTCGACAGAGAAACCCAAAAATCTTACGAGGTACGCAAAAAACATTGAAAATATAAAATCAGTTTAAAAACGTTACTCTCGATTAAATAAATAAAATAAATAAATCGTCTGATTTTTTATGACAAAATAAAAATCAAGATTATATTTTCAAATAGATACGAGTTGAAGCATACGATTTGGGAATGCCGACGCCTCTGAGTTCGGATCTCGATCTAATAATTTACGTGCGTAACATCAACGATTTTGAGCCGCAATTTCTAATGAAAGTTTTTAACGTCAACTTCACGGAGGAACAACCTCCTGGGTCGGAAAATGTGTTACTTCCAGAAACGATCGATAGAGACGAGGTTGATGACTTGGACGATCCTCCCACACAAGTTTGTTACTTTATAGTTGACGGGAACGCCGACGAACTGTTCGTTCTGGATGTCTACAAACACGAACTCACTGTAAGGGATCCTTAGAATATAAATAATACATTATTTCAAAAAGTTTATTTAACATTTTGTAACGGGAAGACACCTGTCACGTAGACTGCCAAGATGCTGGACAGAGAACAGCAAGAAGAACACGCACTGCTCATCAAAGCAACAGAAGACTGCGAGACTGTTCCGGACAACGAGACCACATTCGACGAGACGGATGACACTTTGTTACAGGTCGTCGTGAAGGTCAACGATATCAACGACAACGCACCGCAATTTGTTAACAAAATATTCACGGGTGGTGTCACCACCGAGGCTGACTTCGGCACGCAGTTTATGCACGTTAAGGTAGTTTTACATTTTTTTCTGGCAATTAGCAATTTATTATTGTGATTTGATTCGATCTTTTCGATCTTATTCATTTTCAATGCGCATAAGGCTATTGATTTGGACGCGGGTAACAACGCGGCGCTCGGTTATTATCAAGTGGGCAAAATTCACATGACGTTAACCGAAGGTTTCGAGAATATGCAGCTGCAGCCTTTTCTGGTAAATAAAGAAACCGGAGCGGTGAGCCTGAATTTCGATCCTCAGCGAGGAATGAAGGGCTACTTCGATTTTATGGTACGGTAACGTGAAATACGTTTCTCTTCGCTTTGTTTTCTTCAAGTATAACATGACACAAATGACAGGTACTCGTTAACGATACGCACGGCTTGCAAGACACCGCGCGAGTCTTCATTTACTTGTTGCGTGAGGATCAACGCGTTCGTTTCGTTCTCCGTCAACATCCGCCGGAAGTCAGAAGCCGAATTGAGACGTTTCGACAGTGAGCACAAAACAAAATACATTTAAAACTGTTCTAATTAATATTTATAAAATTAATATCGCGTGTGTGTGTGTGTGTGTAGAGTTTTGGGTAACGTCACGAGCGCCATCATCAACGTGGACGAGTACAAAGTGCACGAGAATCAAGACGGGTCCGTGGATCGAACGAAAACGGATCTGTATTTGCATCTGGTGAATCGCCGAGACAATTCGATTCTCGAAGTATCCGAGGTCCTCGAGCTGGTCGACAGAAACATCGAAAAACTCGACAATCTCTTCAAGGAGTTCAACGTTCTCGACACACAGCCGGCGAAGCCTCAGCCAATCGTTCAATACGAACAAGCGGGCACAACTTTCTGGTTACTCACACTGACCCTGTTCCTGGGTGCTTTGCTGATTCTATGTGTCGCTCTCTGTTTGTCCCAGAGAGCGTCTTTCCGAAGACAATTGAAAGCGGCGAACGCGTCACCGTTTGGTAAGTTAGTCCTTCCATCAATTCTACTTCTATTTTACTTGCTGTTGTCTCGACCGTTTGTACTCTGCTGTGAATTTTCTCAAACATTTTTCCACGTGCTTTAATTTATTTATTTAATACTACAATACAAATAATTCTTTTAATATTACGATATATCAAAAGTTAATAAAAATGTATTTCGACGTCTGATATTTCAAGGCGCGACGGATTCGGAATTTATTCGAAACCCCGGCCGTGTTCCGAATACAAACAAACACAGCATGGAAGGTTCGAATCCCATATGGATGCACGCTTATGAAAACGAATGGTTCAAGAGCGACGAGTCGTACAGCCATACATCCGAGAGGGATTCCCTCGACGAGAACGCGCTTAATAACGAGGAAATGATGAACGACGCTAACACAAACCAAAGATCCGAAGATAAGCCGTATTACATAGAGCCGAGAATCTCAACTATTTCTAGGTGTGTGTTAATTTAAAAAAATCTTAAATTATGTAAAAAAAAAAAAACATACGATTGTTTTACATGTTGTTTTTTATTTTACAGTAGCGAAAGTGTCGAAATCCAGAACGACTTTAGCAGAACTTCACCAATGTACACGGGACACAACACGGTCGCGAATCCTCTCGGGAAGAAGATCGAAACAACGGAACTGTAACTCACAAATCAATAAAGATCTCGCGATTAATTAATTAGTTATAGACTTAAGCTATTGAAAATATTCCTTAAATGTAAAGTGCAACGAAAAATAATCTTGTAAATACTTGTGTTGCGTAAACCAAAAAAAAAAAAAAAAATTACATTATTTTTTATCGATGTCTCTTATTGTTCTTCAGATATGTTATTTTCATAAATTATTTATTACATGTACGTGTAACATATGTTTTATCGCAATGAGTGCTAAGATTTACAAACAACTTAATTTATATTAACGTTAGTCAACAACGATTAAAAATCTGCACAACGACTTATTGTATAAAACGTTTTGTACACCTTTGTATTTTTTATAAACAAATACAAATTTTTTTCAATAAAAAATCCAGTGTTCTTACAATTTTTTTGCCTCTCATCTCCTTTCTTTCTCTTTTTCCAATTGGAAGAAAGAAGAAAACTTGTGCGAGATAATGGCGCGATCGATCGCACAAATCACTTTATAATTTCACGTACGTGAGAAAGTAACGTGGGGTAGAGCCGAAAATATACGCGATTTTCAACAGTGATCGGGATTGTGTTATACGCACCGTAGCAGGTCACGGGTTGAAAAGTTGGGTGACCGAGGAAACCTATTCTCTTATCGTCTTCCTGAACGTCAGGGTTGCGTGCAACCTCATGCTAATCCGGCTTCTATATAACCGACCGGTCAGCGGTCGACTTCACCGACGTACATATACAGAGTTACTTCAAGTTCTTCAGAACGTTATTGCGCGTCTCTCATTCTTTCCACATAGATCCGTAATTATGGCGTAGTATTTTATTCTAATGGGAAGGTATTATTACTCGACAATAATACTCATCCGACCGTAGGAATGGAGGAAGTTCTTGTAACGCATATGAGCGATCACAAAAAGAAAAGAATATCGTACTTGAGATAATAATCTTCTCAGTTTTGAATATATTTCAAGCGTGAATAATAATTTTCTAGCGGTTGAAGCAATAATGCAGAAATAGTAGCAATAAGTATACGTTTTTTTAGATACCTAAACATATATTGTGTATCGAAAAATTTCATCATTGTTATTTAAATACAACTTGATGAAATTTATACATGATAATAGGGTTCAAGACTGTTGCCCTGAGAAATTAAACTTGTGATGTTTATCAATATTCTTCTGCTACTAAGCACGCGAACCCGCGTGAAAAACTTCTTTCACATTAAGAACTCGTACTTAACTACTGTTATCTGGATTAGATTAGTGAATCATCAAAAAAAAAAAGCTATATATTATTTCTTTGTATCATATCAAAAAGTAAGTCTCTCTTGCGAATATAATCTCTAAGAGATTTTTGTAGCGCTCTTACCTCGTTTGTTTAAACACTTGAAAAATCTTATTTTCATTAAACGTTCAACAAAAATACTTAAAGACGTTAATAACGTTTATCAGATACATTCTGTGCACATTTGAAGTTAAAACAAACTCACTTAATTAGTTTATGTGTGATAATCAACGGTTTACATGTTATGTATTAACTTAATCTTCAGAAAAGAATCGTCTGCGAATGGCTATTTGTAACAATTTCGATTTAATTGGTAATTAAGATTGATTAAAAGGAAGCTTTCGAAAAGAATTATTGCTAGTTAGAGGTAACTATACGTATAGTTTTTAGCTATACATATATGTTGCCTATTATTGGAGGGGATGGTCACACCAATCGTGACGTACACGTGACTTGAAGAACGCGGGGGTTGAACAGTACAACCCCTTTCACACGCGCGGCATACGCGGTCGCGTAAAGTGTGCCTCCACACGTCCATCCTCAACAATGTCTCTGACTGACAATTGTTTATCGAGCTTTTTTGCAGTACTTAATTTCTTAGTAGGACAAAATAATAAAAATACATGGTAGCGCCAAGTTTTGCTCTTCGTGCAAACTTAAATTTCAAAACGGAAACACAGAGGGCAGTGACGGATACATAATGTTTCAAACGTTAATTAAACGATTAAATGTTTTCTCCCGAAAATCGTTTCTAGAAGAAAAACAAAAAATTGTGACAAGTTTTATCTCTGATAATGTGTGCATTACATTTCTGAAAGATTTATTCGATCTGTGATGAATGGGTATTCGTATGAACTGTATTATTATGACGATCTTGTGATTTTCTGTGTTCAGGTAAGTCCCCACATGCTGCTTTTAACATGTGTTTCATATTAAATTTTACATAATTCTGTAACAATATTGTGAATTGATACGCAACAAATGGAAAAATGTTACCAGCATTGCGCTATGCAACGCAATACAAGCTTGAACTTTTATTTTCTTTGAAAACATCAAGTCATGCGTGATATCATTTTTAGTTTTATTACAAATAAGATATTTTTACATCAATTTTCCACGTTCTATTATACTAAACATTTTAACACATTGTGTCACAATATAAAAGGTATTTTTCCTTTGATATTACTCGACACGTGTGTATAAATTAAAAAAATAATTTTTTTAAATATAATTTTATAAGAGAGATATCATTAAAGAAATTAAAGGGTTAATGACTCTCGTTCTCTATTCATTTGCAATGAGATATCGGTATTGCGTATTCATGACGAAATGTCGGTTACAATAGACAAGACGTATCACGTGCGCTAAAACTACGCGGCGCGGCAGACACAATACATGGCCATGCATTTATTTATTATATATTTATAAACTGTGTTCGGCGAAAGTTCACGTGCGGATTTTCAATCGCGGATATCGATCTTCAGCAAAGTATCCGGCAATGCCGACACAGCCTGTGTGTGTGCAGTGAGAAAAAGGAAAAGCTTATCGATCGCTCGGACGGGGTGGACACTGACCGGTAAAAAATATATAGCGCGTTAAAACCCATCCCATTCGTAGGCAAACATCAGGACTTTTGTTATAGACTTATCCGAGAAGTGGGGGAAAGTTGATGCTAAATATTCCATCGAACGTGTCTTACGTCTGCTTGGCGAAATATTTATGCAATGTCAAGGCGCGAGACATTGATGGAAACTGTCTGTCGCAAACAGAAAACGAAATCGTACGGAGCAAACGCTTATACTTGGAAAAAATTCTGAAGAAACTTTATACAAATAAACAAAAACATAATTAATAACGTAATAGATCACATGTTTTTTGTTTTTATTTGCGAAAAAAGTAGCGCTTTCTTTGTTATTTAACATGTGACCTGTTGAAAGAAACAGAGAGATTTTGAATTGTCAAGCGATTGTATAAGATTTATTATAAAGATTTTTTTATAAAATTGTTTAAGACTGTACAAGATTTTGTATAAAGACGCGAATTTGTGCGAAATTAAAAAGTTAAAAAAGAAACACACAGTCGGCGATCGATCAGCGACGATCGAAGACTTTGACCCGCTTATCTGTACTTTGAGTGCTCATTCAGTAGTCACGCATTTGCGATGTCCAGACACGTTGTTAGTGTCTTTTACACTCCTATTCCATCAACTTCTCTTTCTTTCTCTCTTTCTCTCTGTTTCTCTAGATAATATTTATTTAAGCTGCATTATAAAAAAAGATTGTGCAAAAGACTGAAAAAATATCAAAATTTTAGCCAAAATTCAAAATTTTAGTTAAAATTTTTTAGGAACAATCGTAGTTCAAATTGCTCGAAAGATACGCATGCAAATTTCACATCACTACTTTGCATAGAGAGAACGTTGTATTTCTTTCTGTTAATGCATATTTCACCTCCTTGGAAGTCGAAGAAAAGAAAAGAAAGATCTGATAACAGGCTGTGTGTAAAATATTTCGTCATAAACTTTATCCGTCCGTCGAAACGAATTGTACTGGACACAATATGTTGCTTCTGTCGTACAGAAGTGGTCGATGGCCCACATTTCCACCTTCATCCTTTGCGAACAATTACGTGCGTGCGCTATATCGTAAAAAACAACGCGCCCGATTAAACGTCATCCACGTGACACTAACAAGTATAGTACAGATAATACGCGACGTGTGTGTTATGGTGTTCTGTACAGAATTGATTGAAACCACATGCTTAAAAAACATATATTACATTATTATACGTTAAATATATAGTAAACTTTTGTTTCAAAAATTTACTCAGAAATCCTTATTTTATGTTTGCTTGTCGTAGACCACGTTAACATATTAATTTATAGAAACAAACAATTCTGACATATTAAATTGCTTAAAATAATTTATACACACACACACACACACGCATGCACGCGCGCTCCTTGCAATGCGAATAAACCTCTTGGAGTGACGTTGAACAATTGTTGCTTTGAGATGTGATAATAAATATCTACGACCTCATTTCATGATCATAAAATCGATAAGCAGAATCATATCGTATTCGTCATCTTTTTGCTATTAACGTTGATTACGTGAAAAACATAGCGATACGGTATATTATCGATTTGGCCTACTATTACTCCTCGCACACACATATTTGAAACGCGAGTTTGAGTTTTACAAATTATATTAATTACACGGTCAATGCTCCCCCGAGAGTTCGAAGTACCCTTTACGTACATATACCTTAATGTTCTCTCAAAGGTGTATCCTTCATTTGTCTATTATTTTTAGAATGCCCCTCGTAGGAGCATGGTTTCAAGTATGGCTCTACTTGGGGCTTGTTTGCGGTTGGGCCGAGAGCGCTCGGCCGCTCTTTGATTCGTCCACTGATATGGGATTGGTGTTAATTCCGGCCGACGCTGAGGTTGAGTCTGTGATTTACCGATTACGCGCGATCGATCAGGACGCGGACTTTCCTCTCGTCTTCGAAGTGACCGGTAATTAAAAAGAGAAAGCACAGAATGGGGCGTTCAAGTTTTAAATGTTCAAAAACTTGAATTGAAAACAATGTTTTCAATTTCTCTGTATTTTTTTTGTTCAGCGACAATCACGCCCGTCGTGAGAATTGAAAATCTACCGTGCACGTTGTACAACAAAATCTGCCAGGCTAATGTGATTTTAACGAAGCGTTTGATACCGGGACGCTTTTACGATTTCGCCGTCCGAGTGCGGGATACCAAAGGTGACTTCAACACAATGCAGGCTACAATTTCCGCGACGAACGCCACGACCTCGCGTGATAAAATATTCCCCCACATTCCGTCGTTGATAATGGTGCCTGAGGTAATTATTGATGGTTCCGCTTAACGGTGTTAATTAACGCCGCGCTGTAATTACTTCGACACACATAAAGAGTGAAAAGTGTTTGTTTCAAACGCTAGTCACAGTCCTGCGAAGTTCCTTCGTTTGTTGCACCTCACATTGATAAAAGAAAAATTAGAAAAATCATTTCGGAAATTAATCAAATCAATTCTAAAAGTCTAAATTCGCATGTGTAATTG